AATAAAAAGAAAAACATTTTCTGTTGTTGTTGTCGCAGGATATGAGGCACTGGGGTTGTGATTGTTCTTGTTTTCCAGTGGCGCCATCTATGACCAAGGATTAGAATTCTGTCACAACCATACGTCACACCCGTTTATAGTGCGAACCCCTTCATTCATCCACAGATCGTAATTTTGATCTGAACCAGAAAACGACCAACCTCCAATCCAGTACCCAAGAGGTATTATTTGTTATGGGGACATAAACGACATTGTGACCCGACAGATTTAACGTACACCAGTCACCATTTACTAGTCTTACCAGTCACCATTACCCTAGTCCCTCACATTATCAGCTCAGGTCGTTTCCAATGGTATTAGTCAGATAAATAAGTGTTTGAATATGAAAAAAAGGTTTGTCAAACATCTCAAGTCTCTATTTTCCATTATTCATAGTTAAAAAACATTAATATCATAAAAAGTCCTCATAAAAATATTCTAAATATAATGGAAATATTTTAATTCTACAAAATAATTTAATTAAAGCATTACGTAAATCGACCGCCCATTGCACGACATTAAATCTAAAAATGAAAGTATTAGCAGTTTGAAATTTAACAGGTATTTTATAAGAACTTCAAATATAACACGCCGTAATCTTTTAGCCGTGGTGGCTCAGGGGATAAAGCGTTAGCCTTCAAATGAGGTGGGTTTTAATCCCAACGAATTCCGGACCCAGCTCGCACCTACCTCAGCGCTGACGAAAAATATCCTCAGTTGTAGACGGATCATGGGTTAGAGTCCCCTTGCCGTTAGGCTAACCGTGGGAGTTTTTCTGGATTTTCCTCACCATATAACGCAATTGCGGATTGCGGGTTAACTCCATCAAAAAATCCTCTACGAAGTCAAATTTTGCTCAATACTTCATCCAGGAGTTCCCTTGTATTTTGGATTGGGTGCAAAATTACAAAGCTACGAAGTTGAACATTAGCAGCAGTAAACCTAAAATTGTATCGGCTATTCAACGACGATTTATGATATAAAAGAAAACGCAGTAGTCTTTTTGTCATTGTTATTGATCCGGTTGAGTTTAAAATTTTTTGAATAACTTAAAATATATGATATATAAAATACTATAATTCAGTTTGCATCATTTTCTGAATGCAAAGAATTCTAAACTTATTGTAAAGAAGCAATAAAGGATACCACAAATCTGTAAGGAAACAGTTCTATCTAATCCATTCATTAGTTCAATATCCAATCTATGAATTTTGTATAATCTATCACATTACAATAAAATTCTGTTCACTCTTTTCAAATTATCAAGTTTGTTTTCTATGGCATTTATAGTATATCGATTGATCTATTACAGTTCTATCCTATCCCCTTAAATCTTTTTCCAAAACATTAACATTTAAATTGTTCATCCAAAATTCTATCTTATCTCTTTTAATAAAGAAGTTCGTTTTCAAAAATATTTATATTAAAATTGTTTTATTACAGTTCTATCTAATCGCTTCTAATAATTAAGTTCGTTTATAAAAATCATTTACAATAAAATTATTTTATTACCGCTCTATTCACTTTTTTTTATCTTATAAAATTTTCTGAATCTTTTATATTTGGAATTTCCTTTCACAGTCCTATCTAATCTCTAAATAATGAAGTTCATTTTTTAAATTATTTACAGTTTGTTCCTTCTATTATAGTTCTATCCAATCTTCTAAAATTATCAAATTCGTTTGTTCCAAAGTTTGTTTTCAGAAACATGCGTATCGTTTTATAACAGTTCTATCCACTCTCTTTATATTATAATATTTTCTAAATCATTTATTTGACTGTTATTTTACAGCCCTATCCAATCTCTTTAAATAATCAGGTTCGTTTCGAAATAATTTTTTGTATTTTGATTGGTCTTTTATAGTTTTATACAGTCTCCTTAGGTTATCAAATTCTCTTTCTAAAACATTTATACACATTTATATTTAGAGAATATTCAAATCAAGCAAAGATAGCATTTAATTTACGTCTTGCCTTCGATGATAAATCTTTGCCTTGATCTCCATTTTCAAGCTCCAGCGTTGAAAAGAATTTCTCAGTTTAAATTTACATATAAGAAACTAATATATTTTCAAATACGTAACCTCTTAGTTGCCCCTCGTGGGGTCGGTGTTTTTCGCGAACGAATAAACTGATTCAGAAATAAATCAACTAAAAGAAAAACATGCGAACTAGAAAAAAAAATGGCGATTCTTTCTTTGCTATAAATTTTGCTTTTTACTGGATTAATTCTTACCCATTCTTACGTTATTTTTGTTCGGACAAGACTAATGAAAAATGACTGTCTTTTATGCTGCCAACTTCTGTTATAGAAGAACATGCAAGGAACTTTTTTTTCGCCAACCCTTTGCCAGTCTGTGTGCATCTATCGTTTGGGTTTTTTTCTTTTTTTTTATTCCAAGATAAGCAGTCTTTTATTAATACATTCTTACTTTCTTCCTTCCAATGCTTGTCAGAAACTTCAGTAAATCTTGAAGAGAGGAAGAAATAATAATGAAAAAAAAAGTTTCTATCTTAAAAAAAGACGTCTCTGTAAGGATAATATTTTATAGTGTTGAGGTAATTTTTCTTACAAGCTTTCGCCTGTTTAGAGTGGATTCATCACTGATGTTTCTAAACGTTTACTTTCATAGTTTTATTGAGATTAACATTTTGCTGTAGCAAATTTTGTAGTGGTTATGACCTTTTAAAATATTCTCAATTTGCGCTTAGAATCTAATTAACCACTGATTTTAAGCGTATTTGTCCTAGATGTGAAACTCAATAAAATTATTTTAATAAAAAGTTGTTTTTTCTTTATCTATAAAAGCAAGCTTAAAAACGATGGCAAAGTATTTTGAGACAATTAAACAAGATATGTTTTATAATGTTAAACTGTTGCAATTAATTCAAATAGTTAAAATTATGTAATAATATATTTAATGTATTTAAAGTTTTAATTTATTTATATTTTTCTAGTGTGGGAGTAGTTTTCCTTACAAGTGTTTAGAGTGGATTCATCTCTGACGTTTCTAAGCGTTTACTTTCGTAGTTTTATTGAGATTAACATTTTGCTTTAACAAATTTTGTAGTGGTTATGACCTTTTGAAATATCCACAATCTGCGCTTAGAATCTAATTAACCACTGATTCTAAGTGTATTTGTCCTAGACGTGAAACTGAATTAAATAATTTTAATAAAAATTGTTTTTTTTTTTCGCTTACAAAAATAATTTTGAAAATGATTGCAAAGTATTTTGAGTTTAGGGAAAATTACACAAGGTATTTTTCATAACGTTTTCAATTGATATTAATTCAAATAGTTAAAATAATGAATACAGTTTATGTATTTCATGATTTAATTTATCGATATAAGTAGTTTTCCTTTTAAGTGCTTACAATGGATTCATCGCTGACGTTTCTAAACGTTTACTTTCGCAGTTTTATTTGGATGAACATTTTGTTATAGCGAATTTTGCAGTTGTTATGACAGTTTTAAATATCCTCAATATGAGTTTAGAAGCTAATTAACCACTAATTTTAAATATGTTTGTCCTGGACGTGAAACGCAATAAAGTATTTTAATAAAAAGTAGTTTTTTACTTATAAAAATAATTTTAAAAATAATTGCAATGTATTATAAATTTTGGTAAAATTGGACAAAATATGTTTTATAATATTTTTAACTACTACAGTTATTTTCTAGTGGAAAAGTAGCTTCCCTTGCAAGCATTTACAGTGGATTCATTATTGACTTTTTATAAACGTTTACTTTCGTAGTTTTATTGAAATTTGCTATTTGCTGTAGTTAATTTTTTCTGGTTAAGGCTTTTTGTATTTAGAATTCAATCAAACAATGACTTTTAATGTATTAAGAATCAAGCAAGTGAAACTCAAAGTGTCTTAATAAAGAGTAATTTTTACACTTTACAAGGCAAGAAACACTTTTTAAAATAACTTTCAAACAATCGCCGAGTATTTTAAATTCGCAATTTCTAGAAAAATCGAATATTGTATATTTCAAAATAGTTTTAATTAATATTCATATAAACAATTAAATATATAAATTTCTAATGTAATATTACATTCTAAAAATTTAAGTTTTGATGTATCTACAATTTATTAGGGAAATAGTTTTCCTTACAAGTTTTTAGAGTGAATTCATCGCTGACATTACTAAACGTATTTATAGACCAATTCTAACAAATAATAATAACAATGTTATAAGGCCTAAGAAATCTAAACTAACAAATAATATTATGCCTGGGAAAATTCTGGTAAAATTATCATACTGTGGAGTAAAAGAAACTATAATTGTGGTTAATAAACCAAAATATACGGCATTTAAACCATTTATTTGGTAATTTTTTTGCTCTTATTGTAACGGCATACGGGAAATTCTTGTTTTCAAAATTATATTTCTCAGTACTACCCATTTAAGAAGAAATACAAAGGTGCAAAAGTAAATTTAACCGAATAAATGATTTTTATGTCATGCTCTAAGGTATCATGATAAAATCACCAATTCATATATTATAAAACTATATTCTATTGTTAATTTAACCGAAATCATTACGCAAGCAATTCGTTAAAAATTGCCGAGCTTTATAGTGTCCCCATAGGGCCAAAAACACGGTACATTTTACCATATACTGTCAGTTTAGACCAAACTTTTTTTTTTCTCAGTGTACAAATTCCAAGCAATCAAAACATTTGAATATAATTTAATCATTGAGCCAATAGATTTTAAAATTTTTACTTTAAAATAAATACGTGGTAAAAAATACCAGGTACTAAGTAATAAGAAACTCTAAAATCGTTTAAAGTTATCACTTAGAGTTTTATATTACATTTGATTTTTGTTCTTAGTTTGGCTATTAATATCGTATTAATGTCTGCATTCAATTCAACGCAATTAAAGTCCTATGATTTAAGAGTTCATAACATTATACATTTTTGGTAAATATAATATTTTCATTTCAGGTTATCAAATGTCAAGACCTATTTGTCTGAACAAGGCTAACGAAAAAGAAGTGGATGAATTGTTATGCAACAGAAGTGAAAGGAAAGTACCAGAAATCAAAGAATGTAACCCGCATAAATGCCCGCCAGTGTATGTCATTTTATAAATTCGATATACTTACTTAAAGAAATATATGTTGTGTATAGTTTTTCTATGGTAATAACTCCCTGCCACAAAGTCTGAGGCAGCCTGATGCTATGGAAACAAGAATAGCGCATTTCAGGGAGGGTTGCTTCTCTTCCCTCGAGGATTAACACGGTAGACCGAAGAAAAAGATTACTTTTTTCTCTCCGATCCGAGCCAAAACTTGTCCTAAACAATGACCCCACACCCCTACTTGAAATAGTTATACCTCGTTTCCATAGTCACCGCCACGGGTCCAGACAAATAGCAACGGTAGTTCTTACTTTAGACAAACTATACATTTTCCGCTTAGCGAAAAACACAAACGTTTTATGTATTTTAATTAACTTACTAATAAAATAATTTTGTGAAAACCCGAATATTAGTTGCTAGGTCATATCCCAATATGCGATCTATCTGTACAATAGAAATTTTTTTAATAGTTGAGTTAAGTTTGTTCTTTTAGTACCACTGTCTAGAATACATTTGCCCGGCATACACTTCACCGATGTTTCTTTAAGGTTAAGTGCCACTTCCCGGTATACATTTTCTAGACATACCCAACTATGATGTCTTTTTAAGTTGAAGTCCCATTGCATGATATACATATTTCTTGAAATACCCTACATTGATTTTTAAGATAATGGGCCCCTGCTCGGCGTACCTTACACCAGTGGTTCCCTAATCGTGTTCCTCGGAACTCTAGGATTCCGTGGAAGAGTAGAAGGGATTCGTGAGTTAGTACTTTTTATAACTGGGGATGAGTTTTAAAACCTCTGGTTACATTGAGACTCAACCTATAATTTATTTAATCTTTCGGTTGCTTTTATTAAATAATTTCAAGTAAAATAACAATGAAATAGAAATGGTATTTTTAGAAGAAAATATAATATTTTTAATGGCAATATATTGAACAAATTATGAAAAGAACAAGCATTTATAAAATACTGCATTAGTAATTTCTATCACTCATTTTAAAACAAAAAATATAATTTTTTATTAAAGAATTACTTTTCCTAATAACCGTTTTCAACAACAGTTTTCAACTCGAAGTAAACCATAATTCAGCTTATTTTATTTATTCATATTTATACATCAAAAGCAAATTCACAACTAGACTAGATATGGAGCAAGGACTGTATATTTAACTGTCGGAGGTAAGAGCTCATTTAAGAATATTAATGACAAAGCGATGAAAAATATTAATTTCTCAAATTTAATATTTCAAAAAAAGTTTTTTTATTATAAGGTTCACATTTACCATAATTAACTTTATTTAAAAAGTCTGAGTTCCGCCGAAAGAAGATTGATTATTTAGGGTTTCATAGCCGGAACACTAATGTTTTTCATAGCCCTACACTAATGCTTTTTAAGGTTAAATTTCACTCATGACATGCCCTGCCCTGATGTTTTTTTTAAAAGTTAAGTGCCACTGTCCAGTATACTCTACCATACTATACTATAGTAGCGCCACCTATTGATCTGTAAAGTAACTACTCAAAACGATCGCATATTGGTACAATACCAGTTTCTGTTTAGTTCCTAGTATAAAATTTGTTAAAATTCGTCACAAATTTGTGCTGTCGGTTACCATGGCTTTAAAGTATGATTCATCCAGTAGATAGATTAATATTTAGTAACGCATTTTTTATTTTTTAAGTATTGATCGATATATTTACAAAACCAGTTTTTAATTCAGATATTTTTAGTAATTTTTATTTTACTGTTTATTTACTTATTATTGTTATTTTAAATCAGAATATTAATCATATTTGCTAATAAGAACTTGCAAAGTATAGATTGTGGTACTACAAAATATAGATTAAGCGCATTGAATAAATTACAGTAAAGTTTAAAATAATGTAGTATAATTTTTAGTTCGGTCAAAATTATTCTTTAAATGCTAATAAAAGTTACTTCGAACACAGATTAGATGTTAAAAGCATTATTGAAATTATAAAAAGATGTAATTGAACAATTTTAAAAACCATATTTTCATAACAACTAACATTAAAGAATTTAAATCTGCCGATTTTTACGGAATGAAGCAATTATATTCTGAGGGACAAAATAAATAAATAAATACTTATGTATATGTTTTAATATGTTATATTATATGTTTTAAATTTTTTGCAGGTGGGTCACAGATAGTTGGAGTCCGTGTTCTGCCTCGTGTGGAGGAGGCCGCCAATCTCGCCAAGTCCATTGCGCTCAAATGGGAACAGAGGGTTTGCGTAGTCCCGTTTCGGCTGATCAGTGCCTTCGCCAAAAGCCTTTAACGGAGAGACCCTGCAATTTAGTACCGTGCCCTCAATGGATAAATGGCCCTTGGTCAGGAGTAAGTAATCCTTTCTGGTAAAAAAAATCTTTGTGAACAGAATGCTGACCAAAGCAATTTTAAAACATCATGTGATTCACGACGACTACCCTAAATACAGATTTTTGAAATTCTTGCACAAATTAATTTAAAAAAGACACAAATAGGGGTCACCAATTGATATTTACGTTCCATCACGCTCTTAAAATATAGTTTTAGAATTCTTGTCAAAAGCAAAGTCTGAAAAGTATGCGCATTAATGGCCTCTAATTACTTTTTACGTTCTTTTCCGCCCTTAAAAAAATATAAAGTGAGTTACTCAAAATATTGGCACTACAAATAGTATGAGAACTGCTGTAAAAACGTATTTATTTCATAATTTGGATTGTAAATGCAGTCGAATATAGAGTGACGAACTGATCTTTAAAATTAACGAATTCATTGTAAGATTTAAGACTAATGGATATTTAGTAACCTTTAAAACTTACGAATACATTGTAAGCTTCAAGACTAATGGATACCTAGTAACATTTAAAACTAGCGAATACATTGTAAGCTTTAATACTAATGGATACGTCGTAACCTTTAAAACTAACGAATTTATTGCAAGCTTTGAGACTAATGGATACTTAGTAACCTTTAAAATTAACGAATACACTGCAAGTCTTAAGACTAATGAATACTTAGTAACCTTTAAAACTAACGAATTCATTGTAAGCTTTAATGGATACTTAGTAAGCTTTAAAATTGAAGAATACACTGCAAGTTTTAAGACTAATGGATACTTAGTAACCTTTAAAACTGACGAATTCATTGTAAGCTTTAAGACTAATGGATGCTTAGTAAGCTTTAAATCAAACGACTACATTGTACGCAGTAAGACTAATGGGTACTTAATAACCTTTAAAATTAACGAATACCTTTTACGCTTTAAGACTAACGAACACGTTAAGTTTAACAAATACATTATAACCTGTGAGACTAACGAATACGTTGTCACCTTTAAGACAAACGAATACGTTGTCACCTTTAAGACTAATGGATATATTGTTACCTTTAAGACTAACGAACATGAATTTCGATTTCAGTGTTTTGTGACATGTGGAAAGGGTCTGAAGATCCGGTCGGTGAAATGCGAGGACGCTAAAGGTCAGCACAGCGAAGATTGTGATATCGAACACATGCCTAAAACAAAACAGGAGTGTGATAGCGGGCTTGTATGTGGCAAATCTGAGGACCCTGGTACTTATCTATTCTCTGGTAAGAAAAAACAAAACCCGGTTACACGTTTTAATATAGTTATTGTAACTATATAAACACAACTGGTTTTGAACTGAAAAAAGGAGCAGCATAAACTGAGAAAATCTATAAGACCTGCATTAAAGAAAATCAGCCAGTATATTATTAAGACATACTAAAGATATATTCAGTAAAACATACTACATAAAATCAAGACATACTAAATTGAAGTGCTGCTATTGACAATTTAATATAGTTAATGGGGTTTGATTTTATATGACATATGGCACAGTAATCGAGTTATTTGTATATTTTGATTAATTAAATATTTGCACAGAGATATGGGGTGGTAAAGAATACAAATGCAATTTCAATTTGCTGTTAAAAGAAAAAGAAAAAAAAGAGCCACTGATTAGAATGACCTGATATTTAATCTAAATATTTAGGAAGAAATAAAATTCTTTCTTCTTCTTTGCAATTGAAAAAAGTAGAGCCGTGGTTCGCCTTCCAATGAGGTGAAATCGGGTTCGAATCCTAGCTACGGCTGGTCGATACGAATCCCGCACCGATCACAGTGCTGACTTCAAAATATCCTCAGTGGTAAACAGATCATGGGTTAGAATCCCCTTGCCGTGAGACTAACTGTGGGAGGTTTTCGTGGTTTTCCTCTCCACGTAAAACAAATGCTGGTTTGTTTCATTAAGAAGTCCTCTACGAAGGCAAAATCTCTACAAATACTTGATACAGAAGTTCCCTTGTCTTCTGGAATGGGTTCAAAATTTCAAGGCTATGGGGTTGAATATTCGTAGTCGTAAACCCAAAATTGAGTCGACTGTTCAACTATGGTTCAAAAATAAAATTGATAGTTCAGAAGTTGACTGGTAGATGACGCTACTCTCTCCATAAAACGCTCATTAAAAGTAGTGACATGTTGTGGAACTTATCTACCACGAGAAAGTGGTACCTCAGCAGATAGGGAAATATTAGTTTTTGATTGTCCTTCTGCTTGAAAAAGCAAAGCCACAAACAGCAAAAATAAATAAATAAATCAAATATTTAGCTGTCCCTGGGCCATATACCACAGAAAAATCGAAATTAAAATAGGTTTTTAATTACCTCTTGGCCAAAAAACCATTGATAAACCAAAAAGTGATGAAACTCAGAAGAAGTTTAATGTAGACTAAAAGTTTTATCTATTAAATTTTAATCAGCTAGTGTAGAAGCAGCAACAAACGGAAAGGGCCAAGGATGCACAGTAACCACACATCTTGACCCTTTCTGATAATGATTAGCAATTGTTTTGGTCATCAAAATCTTCGTCCTTTATTTAGTTATAAATCCCCACTTCCATTACACTTTCTTAATGGTTTCAATCAGTTCAAATATAAACGTAAACAAATAAAAACAACCATGGTCCCTTCCAAATCCTCTTCCTCATATTTCATAAAAATTGGCAATTTTAATTTCTTCAAAATCGCCATTGTCCCTTTTAGATCCAAAGCAACAGCTTAAGTAGGCAAGATATCGTCGTAACTGTTTAAGCTATTTCATAACGTTCATAATAAGAAAAAACGCCTTAAACCAAATGTAAGATATCTTTGCGACTGCAAAATTTGCATTGACTAAAAACTACAAAAAATAATTCTTTTGTACAAAATGGACACTTTGAAACAAAAATTCAACAGTTGAAGAGTTTTGTGATTTTCCTCTTTATATAATGTGAAACAATGCACATAATTTCATTATTATAGTGGGGAAAATGAACCTTCATGCAAACATAACAATTATATTTGGAATTATTAGTTCTGGTGGTCGCAAAAAGCTGTTATTAATTGTGGTGATGCTTAATTAAGTATCACTTGTGGTGATACACTAGTGATACTACATTAAGGAAATAAGTACATTCGCATTTGAAACATTTAAACTTTACATTTTTCTGTTCTAAATTTATTTATTTTAAAAAAAAATCACGTTTTAATGGCAATTAAAAGAATTAAGTTTATTTATTTATTTTAAATAGTTCTTTTGTCAAACTTTTCTTTAATTTTAGTCGAATTAAATCGAATTTCGAATTCAAGTCGAATTAAATATTTCTTCGAACATGTTAATTGTGCTATTAAATATGTTATCAACATGTAAGCCTTAGAACTCTGAATGTGTGAAAATCCGATTAACAAAATTATGGTGCTTTTGGCACAATTCAGTATTATGGCTTCAGGAATATGAATGTATCATTATGCGTGCAATGCAATATTTTAAAATTATGTAATTAAAAAAAAGTATAAGCAAAAAATTATAAGCAAAAATTTATAAGCAAAACTATTCATGATAACACATATTCAAGTTATAACTCCCCCAAAATTTAATTCGAGTTAATGTTTCCTTATTACGGCTTATTTATTTTAAGATCATGTAATTAAAATAGGTTTTTCAAGCACTGTTTAAGTTATTTTCATTAAAAAATTCAATCAACAAAACTAAATACAAATTAAAACACTAAACCTAGTATCATTTTTAAACATTTAAGATATTTTGTCAGAATGATTGAAATCAACAATTTACAAAGTTTGACTGGTGTTTAAAAAATCACGTTAAAGAAAAGTTTAAAAAAAAGATTTTTTTTTAAATCTCTGAAACTTATTCTACTTCATTCAAAGCAATCGATCATTGTCATATAAAAATGTCAACGCGCACAGACAGAGAAAAAGTCTGAAATCAATTGATTTTTAGTCGCGTTCAAAGCTAATAAAAGAGAAAAAAAAACTAATAGAGTCGAATTCGACCTATTTAAAGTTTTTTATGTAAATTTTGTTTGCTCTAATTACAAAATGAAGTTTTGTGCCGTTAAAGTATGAATAATGGATAAATTTATTTGAATCCACTAATAGCTAAATTCAAAATGGATAATTTTCCATACCAGTGTATCGTTTTATACGAAGTGAAAAAAATTGTTCTAATGTTCACATTCGTAATCGTTTGAAGTATATAAATTATAATTGAATTTGAAATCCTTAAATCAGTTATTGATTTGAGTAAAAATATATATATAGAATAAAGTATACAAAAATAGGAAGTTATTCAGATAGGCTAATAGTTTGGTTTAAAATAGAAAATTTCTTTTTTCTTTTCAAATCAACTTATCCGTTGTTGCTAAATGGAAAAGTTTGTTCAAATAAATTAATTCTTTGAAATGGATAAATTTATCGGTATCATTTATGCATTACAGTAGAAATAAACAAACTGTTAAAGTCAGAGAGTAATTTGTTTTGTAATATGAATTCAAATTAGACAATTAGAATCAGAAAGCACGTTGATTCGAATTAAATTAGCTGACGGGAGTTGGTTTACTATTGTATTAATTAGTGATTAAAACTACGATTGATTCTAACCGATTTATTTAAATCAGTTATTTGAATAAAATCAACTTTGTTGGTAAAGATATACTTTCGGATTTTAATTTATCGGGCTGATTTTAGTGATCTGATGAAAATAAGCTTAATAATTAATTTTAAACAAGGTTATAGTTATTCAATATTGTTATTTTAATCAGTTGAGTCGTACCAGTTGGTTGTAATCTGTTGTTTTAAATGAAATTTGAGTCATGGTTTTATCAGTAATTCGAGTCAGTGATACGGTTAGATATTCATGATATAATGATTAAATAAAATAAGGAACTAATGGTCCAATTTCATCCTGATTCAACTCAATTAATAAAATATTTAATGATTTATGAATTAACAGTACTTTGAAAAATAATGTACAGTGCGTCAAAAAAAAACAAAAAAAAACAACTATCCTGAATAGCTTTTGATCTAATAATCGGATTTTCACGATCTAGGACTCAATCTTCATGGTTTGAGGGGGTGACCTCAAATATGATAATTTGTGCAGACGATATTTTAAGTTACGAAATCAGACACAAAAACGTACTTTATCTGAATAAACAATCAGAATTTTTCGATGGAATCGAATTTCTGACCCTTAAAATGTAAGGGATAGTCGCAATCTGGAAAATATGATCTCCATAGTTTCATCAGGAGAGCAGTTCAAAGTTTAGACCCCTTAATATTAACTTTTTTGCGTATTTCGCCATATCTCGAGTAATTTTTAAGAGAATTGAAAATTTTTTGCACACAATTATAAAATTCGTTTATCCAACGATAATTCCACGCAATAAAGAACTTTATTAAATATTTATTATTTTATTTAATAATAGTAAAAAAAAAAGTTTGATAAGTAAGATATAATTGATATCATTTTAAAGTATGCAATTTTACACGACAAAATACAAAATTTGAGCGAAATTGGTCGAATAGTTCCTGAGAAAAATTATAAATCTACGACTTATTTGTAAAACCTTAAAAAAAGACGTAAAATTTCAATCGCACACATTAAGTGATGAAATGTCAAATGACAGAGTTAAGCATGGTTTTTGATTTCCGTGTTTACTCAAATAAATTTTAATTTAAAATTTTTTTTCTTACTTACAGACATCTTTAAAGGATCACAAGAAGATTCTCCACCAAGACCACCTTATTGGTCCTCATCTTACTCTAAAAAAGCATCCGACGTTTCAACAGAACCAAGGTAGGCAGTTTTTATTTCGCACTAAGTTTGCAATTTTTACGTTCATGATGTTAACTATTTAGGTTCAGTAAAATCTTAAAAAGTTTTTTCTGTGTTATATCTTAATAATGTAAGAATACTCTGTCTCCAGTTTCCCATTATTGGGAGTACAAATTAGTTCGGTCCGTTTTTTTTTTGTGGTCAAAAATGCATTTATTTTTAAACAAAATGGATGAACAGATTAATCAAATTATTGCCCATCGTTGGCTACTACTTTTTCCCACCTCTCAAGCGACTTTCGAATTCCATCTCGAAAAAATGTCTCGTCTTTTGAGGTAATCCAAGTTAGGGGCCAATTTTCGATTTCTGCAAAAGGAGTGAACCGATGACCTGCCAAATCATGCTGCATCCGTTGGAACGACCAATAATCAGAAGGAGCAATGTCTGGTAAATACGGCGGGTTCGGTGATATATTCCGCTTAAGCGTTTCCAAATAATTTTTACGACTTTTGCGACATGAGGCCGGCCGTTATATTGCAGAAGAATAACTTTGTCAAGTCTTTGCTCGTATTCCGGCCGTTTTTCCCGTAATGCACGGCTCAAACGGATCAATTGTAGCCTATGCCGATCGCCCGTAATGAAATCGCCACGTTGTAGCAGCTCATAGTATATTGTACAACACCATTAAACATCCACATTAAGCTCCACGTTGTACAACACCATTAAACATCCTTCTTTCACCATTCACCATTCTTGAAACGTCGAAACCATTTTCTACATGATTTATCAGTTGGAGCATTGTCATCATAAACTTCTACAAGCATTTGATGCGCTTCAGCTGCACTTTTCTTGCAATTAAAGCAGAAACATAAAACCTCCCACAAATGCTGTTTAGTTACCACAAAATTTGATATATTCAACGAAGTAAAAAAACAAGGCTTCTGTGTGAAACTCAAAGCGATATAAACTAAATATTATTGACAGATGTCCAACCTCTCTGAAACCACCGAAACCAGCTGTCACTATGAAGCATTTATAGCAGCCAGAGCCATCTTTTGAAAACGGACCGAACTAATTTGTACTCCCACTATAATAACGTTTAAGCACTCAGCAAAAGACAAAAAATTCACATTATTTTATTCCAATGTAATACAAATATTTTGCTTTCTTATTTAAGAAATTGTTAGAACTCACGTTTATTGTTCACGCCCTCGGTTAAAAATATAAAAAATTAACTTTTATCTGCAAGGGCAATGGAAATCGATGTTGAACAAAATTTTAATTTTCCAAGATTTTGAAATTTTTACATTTGTTATGATGTCAATGCAAAAGAAACAAACTGTTGATGGTAATATGGTTGTCAAATAATTTATGCATAATACTTTTGTTTTAATAGTTATGTTGTCGGCGAATGGGGTCCCTGCAGTGTATCCTGTGGTCAAGGTTTCCGAAAAAGAACAGTTGATTGCAAAATTTTCCTTGAATTTTCAAAAACAGTCGCCAAATTGCAGGATTATGAATGTCCGGGTAAGTTTAAAATATTTTTTTTAAATTATTTATTTAGATCTCGAGTTCAATCTTATCATAATGACAATAGGGCACGTTGAAGTTGTTGACAACCAGTCTCAATTCTTCTAAAAAAACTTCTTGATAATAACACTTTTGAACAAATCTCCTAGTACTCTTTAACATTTTGTTGATTCTGAATCTTCTCGCTCTATTTAAAGCCTGTGAACTCTGATATGCCACATATTTTTGGTATCTTTGAAATTTTTACGTCTATATTTACGCTGATGACTTATCCAAACTTACAGGCTTAAAGAAACGAAAAAGCAATCGGTTACGAAAGGTACTAATAACCTGTAAGTGATGATTTGTGAAAACGATTTATTTTACAACCAGAATTAAACAGCCGGCCTAATTCTGAGTTTATGACTATCAAGCCTTGTAATTTCGAACACAACTCAGAAGACAAGGGAATTCGGGATCAAGCATTATGGAAAAATTAGCCTTCGTAATAGACTTTTTGATGGAACAATCCCGCATTTGTGTTACATTGAGAGGCAAACCACGAAAAACTCCGACTTTTAGCCCGACAACAAGAGGATTCTTACCCATGATCCGCTTACCACTGAGGATATTTTACGTCAGCCCTGAATCCTAGCCACTGCTAAGATTCTGGGTCTTTTATTTGGGATGTATTTGCTCTATCCCTTGAACAACCACGGCTTAAAACAAATTATTAGAAACAGTGGGCTGTGGATGCTTGTTTTCCACTAAATGTTCTACCGGGAGCGTTAATGTAGAGAGATAGCAGATTCAAGTTCAGCCACAAATCTGGGTATATTTTGTCTTTTTACGCCTTTCTGAATTTGTTTGTTTGCGCTTTTTTCTATCAACAATTTCGTAAGAATTTACAATAAATTCTTACATAAATGAAACAAACTAAAGTGAGCTATTTAATGAATAAAGAACAAAAAAGGGTCTTGTAGTTCTGCATGTTGGAGGAGGATCCGTATCCCGTCGTAGTTAATAAAGCTGATTATGTGTGTGAATAAGTGAATGAAAAAAATAAGAAAAGTCTAGATGGGTGGGCCTCGTAATTGCCATACATTAATCTTTACCTAATACCCTGAGATTTGGGAAATAGTATATTCGTTCCCGGCCGCAACCCTCGAGCCTTCCTTAAAACTCGTACTATGTTGTTTTTATTTACCTCAACTCAACACGAGCTTTTAAATGAGTTTCAGTTCAAATGTACAGGCCTAAAGACTGATATTTCAAATGTAAAATACAATGGGTGTCACATAAACAACAGTACGCACCAAGCTCCTATCTCTCCACAGGTTCTTCTAAACCACAAACCATTTCTGATTTTTTTAGTGCTACTCTAGCCTCAACCATAAGTCTCGTTAATGGAAATACTGAGCTATAAGCTGATGCGAAGAGCTCGTCACACAATTTTATTTTACGACCGCCGTTGAACAGTCGACCCAATATTTGAGGGGCCTCCCTGGCCAAGCGGTATCGCCGGTCCAAACGCTCTGTTAAGCGTGGAGGTAGCGGGTTCGAATCCCGCTGTAACCCTGGATGTATTCTTTGTGATGTCTTTCTCTGAATTGTTCTATCTGTGTTTTCTACTTGACAATGACTTATAAGCCTATATATTGAGCACACAAGTCAGCAAATGTTTGTAATTTCAATAAATCAAATCAACCAATTTTTGGGTTTACGACTACTAATGTTCAACGCCGTAGCCTTGTAATTTTGAACCAATCAAGAAGACAAGGAAACTCCTGGATCGGTACCCCCAGAGGTATTGATTTGTTATGGGAACATGGAGGACTTTGAGACTCGACAGATTTAACTTGCATTGGTCACCATTTACTACACGGGGAGTCTTCGACCGGCGGGGACCGAACCCACGAACTCTTGGACATGGGCCCGGCACCCCACTGACCAGGCTATCCCGGCCTCTCGTCACACTATTGTATAATTTAACAGTTTCGGACCATAAAGGAAATGATGTTCGTGTTCTCAAGTCGCTGAGGAGTTTTAAAGCTTATAAGCTAATAGCACAATTTTAGAAATATAGCGAGCGATAAAATGGCGCAGATATGAGGAATTTCGATTTTTGGGCGGGTTATACATTCCCCAGTTACAAAATATCTACACAATTAATTGATTGTAATCACATAAATATATTTTATAATGCTTCATTAGTCTCATACGTCAGTCTTATGGATTACAATCTTAAATCAAGATCTGCTATAACTTTCGGCAGGTTCATAAATAACAACGACACGAATAACGCTTTAAAAAACAAGCTATTTGTCAAGTATTCCCTGATGCAATCAGAGCCTTAGTTTCTGAACTATCCCGGTATAAGGATATCTACTTCAAATAGACAGCCGAGCGGACTACGTAGTGATCGGGGAGCTTACCTCAGATCAGAAGGTCCTGGGTTCAAATCCCGGACGAGGCATAGATGTTCTTTTTCTTTCTGCACAACTTTACTGTTGGAGCAGCGTTGGCCCACCTATTATGGTGCCTCTGAAAGCGTGGCACACAGATCTGCCCATTTAGCACATGAATGACGAATGGCACACAGATCTGTCCATTTAGCACATGAATGACGAATGTCAATCGGGTGGGCATTGGAAACAAATTCAAATAAACATTAATAGTGTATGTGCTTGAAAGCACTGAAGTTCTGCACTAAATTCTGGGCTCGAACCTGTGACGTTAGTCTCACAAATACCCATGACGATATGTCAAAAATGAGCTGTTGTCAGCCTACAAAGCAAGAAAATATGTAATAATCCTCTGTCGAATATAGCTAGTGACTACAAGTCGGAAAGGGCTTCATTGGACCGCCTCATTCTCTGTGGGGTAATTTTTGTTATCCTTCTTCAACTTGACGAAGGCTTATAAGCCACCCTTAGCAATAAACACGAAAGCTTGAATACGTATGAGTAACAATAAATAAATAAAACTAAAATAAAAAGTTGAAGAATGGGAATAATATGAAGTATAGTGTCGTAAATAAAAGAGTGAGTATGCGTAAAATTGTTTTTAAATGTCTTTATTTTCCTTCACATTTCTAAAAGTTTGTTAAATGATTTCAAAAACAATCTGCAAAGTTCTGAATCTGTTTGAAATTAAGACTTTGTCAAACAATCAAAGCAAATTTAATTTTTAAAAAAAAATCAAGAATTATAAAAAATATAAAATATAACATTCATCATGCACATTTTTTCCCGTCAATGTACAGTAAAGTAAAAATAAATTTGTATTTCAGTTTTTGTAGTTAAAAGTATTAGATACTTCTAGTATATATTTAATATACATAAGTCGTTGAATCTTTTCCTACAAATTAGAGACATATTACGATTACATTACTATTTAATTACACTGAACACTTTTGAAAAGTTTTGTTTTCAAATTATTATGAATGTATTGTACTTCTTCTATCAGTTAAAGTTTCACAATTGATGTATACTCTAGAAAGGTTTACAGAGCAGTATAATGATAAGCTGCATCAGTATTTTTGACGGAAAATATCACGATTTCCTAGAGTGAAATATATGTTTCTGAGCATTGTGCGCTTAAGAAGTTTCAAACTTATTGGTAACTATTTGAAAACAACACTAAGGAATAGTTTGAGTTGAAAATATATTATCCATCCCTATCTTGTTCCACACTCTTCAAGTTTATAATAACGAAGGCTGTACAAAAATCAATTGCTTATTATATAATCACTATCTCAACTTGTTCTATGTTGTTTTTATACTTTATTTTAAATTACCAATATTTGTTTTTCTGAATGCTAACCATAGAGTTTGACCACATTATTTATAAATATTATAATAATATTTTGACTTCCACTGTAAACTGCGCATTCATTTCATTAGAATAGCAAAATTAGTGTCAACCAATTACTTAAGTGTCTTCCTACTTTCACAGCTTAACTTCAAAAGGTTAAGGTATCAAACAGGGGCAATCTTTAATTAAAATGTCAAATACATGTTTTGTAATTAAATTTCTAAGCCTCTATTTCCTGTTAAGGTGTTTATTTGTACTATACATATTATTTAGGTAATCACACGACTATTTTGCTATTTATTTTATTCCTAATAAAATATATATTTAATGTTCAATTTAGAATAAAATGAAAATGAAAAATATAAATGTAGATATAATACACCGAAAAATTCTTTAATGAATTTCCACAATAGTACATAGTTTTTATAATTAAAAGCATAATGTTTTTTTTTTATTTTGCATTAAAAAAAGTTAACTATCTTTTTTAAAATTTTAAATATTATTTACTACAGAATTGCAATTTTGTAAATCCAAGTTTTAATTTATTTCAAATAACTGAATTGACTTGAATTTGTTTATAATTAATCGCATTTTATAATGCTAAACATAGGCGCTTTTTATTTTTAATCAGAAATTTTTATTTAACCTAAACTTAAATTTGTTTTAATTTTAATTTATTTTTAAAAGAACTTTCGTGTTTTTTTTCTCCAAAATTTACTCAAAATTTAAATTTGATTATGTTTTTAAAGGTCCCATTATATTAAACATTTAAATTCTAAAAAAACTTATCGATACTGATTAGATATGCATTTTGAAATTTCTTATGTTTGTAAATTTTAGATCAATGCAGCGAGCTGTTTTATTGAAGTTATTTTAATATTTATTTTCTTTATTTTATCTATAATTTGAAGAATATTAATTTTTTGTGTACATTAAGTTATTTAATATTTTTTTATCAATAAATATTGTATATATGTTTTCAAAAAAATTTAATGGATAAAAAAAACTTAACTATTTAACTATTCACCAAATTCCACACAATCCACAGATTTATTCTGATGTTGAGTTCCTTTAATTTTTATTAGTTAATCAAAAACAAATTAATGGGTGATAAAAAATAAGAAGAGAAAAAATAAATTTTTTAAAAGTTTATTTTTTGAACTTTCTATCAAAAGAAATTTTAGTTTTACCTTTCTTTCTGT